ATTTCAAGCTATCACTACTACAGGAGGTGATAGGGACTCAATCTCAATGGCCTCCACTGCTGGATGATGGCACAGTGCTTGATTGTTAGCTGTTGCTACTGCAAGAAACGATAGGGCTGCAAGCTCGATGGCTTCTGCTGCTGGACAACGGCACGGCGCTTAATTACAAGCTGTCTCTGCTGTAGGAGGTGGCGGGGCTTCGATGCCCTCCGCTGCTGTATGAAAACGTGGCACTTGGTTGCAAGCTACCACTGACTCAGCTGGGCGTATGTTGCAATCTCTATTTCTACATTTTCGAGTACACGAAATTGGGGTGATGCTTGAAGGTTATCTTCTCCGTCAACTTCCAATACTCCCGACAAATGCATTTTCAGTGGTAAATTGAGATGATCCGATACAGTAGCATTTTGTAGATGCATGAATCTTTCTCCAGCTAAAGTTTTTTGTTGACAAGGGCGGTTGGTATTTTCTTTCACTTTAAAGGGTACAAATCTTGGAAGCGCTCTTGCTCCGAATCTGTTCGAGTTAAAAAAAAGATCATGCTCAGATTCCAAGTTCAAAGCATGGTTTTCCCTGATATCTAAGCATAGACATTTTTCCACAGGTCCACTTATAGGTGAACCTTGTCTTTTTCTCATTGTACACAACACACAAGAAGGATTGAAAAAAAACATTCTTTTTTTTTCTTTCCCGACCGGTGCACCAAAAATATTTCTTTGTAATGATAAAATGAAAAAGAAACTGAATACAACTTTTAGTATAAGTGAGCAAATATATATTTATTAAAAAGCATAGACAACGGATTTGGCTTTTTTTAGATATGATCAGAAATGTCTCGCAAAGAGATCTGCCGATTAATTCTCCAATAGCTTCCAAAATAACATTCTTTTGTTCTTTACCGTTTCATTGTCATAACAACCAACTCTTATGCGCTTGATCTTATACGTTTACCTGTTGAACTTTGTTTACAAGAAAAATAAGAACAATTGAATCTTTCTAATGACGATAGTAATCATATAAGAATCACTGTTTCTCAATGATGTAAAAAAATCTTTTCCGTCTCAAAAATCTAGCTCTTGGCCGAACGTCCGTAAGAGTGCCCCTTTGCACTTCAGCTCCGTAATTTCCTTCTATCATCAGACTATCGAACTGTTCAGTGAAGGAAACTACATGCCTCTGATCAGCCCTTATTTGACTGGCCATTTCATGGCCTTTCACGGTTACTAGCTTCATGCTAGAGCAGCCTTTAAGATCGGCAAACCAAGCTTAATCTTTAGCAGGCAAACGTATTACGAAAATAGTTAATGAATTATAACAATCAGTAATTAGGAATGCAACAGGTTTTTAAGTATTATTAATAAATAAAATATGCTCCTAGGCAAACAAATATCGGTTATTAACAACCCAATATTTTTCTTGTATTATTAATAAATAAAGTATCATCTAAGGTGAGCAATCATCGGTATTTCTTGGTAATATTGAAATGAAAAAATAACTAAACACAACTTTTAGTAAAAGAAAACAGATATACATTTATGCAAAAGTACAGACAACAGCTTCGGATTTTTTTTATGTGATCGAAAGTGTTTCCCAAAGAAATCTGCCAATGAATTCTTCACCACCTTCCAGAGTAACATTCTCCTTTTTTTTTATTATTTTGTCATAACAACGAAATCTTATGCGCTTGATCTTGTACGTTCGCCTGTTAAACTTTTTAAAAAGGAAAACGATTGAATCCATGAGAATAAGAATGAGAATCAATGTTTCTCGTTGACGTAAGAAAATCTTTTCCGTTTCAGAAATTCAGCTCTCAGCCAACTCTATCGCAAGAGTGCGCCTTTCTATTCCAGCTCCATAATATCCTTTTTTTATTGAACTATCAGAATGTTAGGTGAAGGAAAATAAATGCCTCCAACCAGCCCTTATTCAACTGGCGATGGGACGGCCTTATGCAGTTACTAGCTTCGTGCTAGAGCAGCCCTTAAAAATTGGCAAACCTAGCATAATCTTTAGCAGACGAATATATTACAAAAGTAGTTCATAGGTTTTTACATTTTTTCCCCTACGAAATTCAACTAAGAACTACTAGAAATTTAACTAGTTTTTTCGTCAGACAATTTATGACTCTATTAGAAGTTCTAATTCCTGCTACACGAACTTGCTTGTCCCACCTGAAAAAAAATGTCGGAATTCTATGTAGAGTTACTTCTGTAATACTTTCAGGAAAGCCATATGACATTATACATGGCTTACATATGGCATTACATAAATGGTTTTAGCTTGGTGATGCCATATGTAATTCCATATGAAAAAACACATGGAATTACTAATTGGAAAAAGAAAAAATTTCTATCATCTAGAAATAACTGCAAAATACCATAATAAGTTATTTGCAGTTATCAATTTGTCTTACCATCGGGATNGTATTACGAAAATAGTTAATGAATTATAACAATCAGTAATTAGGAATGCAACAGGTTTTTAAGTATTATTAATAAATAAAATACGCTCTCAGGTGAGCAAACATAGGCTATCAGAAGCCCAACAGTTTGTTGGTGTATTTATTAATAAAATGTGCTCGTAAGCGATCAAGCATTGGTGATTAGCAAATTAACCATTTTTTAGTACTGCTTAGGTGAGCAAGAATTATTGATTAAAAATCCAACTACATTTTTCTGTTACTTAAAAATCAATCAATTCATAGATAGAGATCAGTTTTTGCGTAAAAAAGTAAGAGGTAGTACACGAATTATGTCTTTACCCTTATTATATTTTATATTTTATGTACAATAAGCTAATATACATGTTAATGTGTTTACAGTCTTAAAAATATTTCTATGATGAGACGAAATATCAACATGTAAATAAATGAAAAATTTTTTCTCATGTAAAACTGAGTGGTGTTTTATTGTTGATGTAAACCCTAAACAATGTTCAAGTTATCAAAAAACGAGCAAATAGAAGTTCCGAGAGAGTTACTCTTTCAAAGTAAAAATAATAACTATAACTATTGTTATGACATTAATAATAATGACAATAATGATGATCATCATGTTGGTAACAATAAAAGTAGTAATTATTAGTAATTATAGTAATAATGATTATTATGATGAAAGTGATAATAGCAAAAATAGGCACAGTGTGCCACTTGGACAATTTATTATAAGTAGCTTAGTACCGCTCATCTAGTTGGGTCTAAATTCTTCACTTAAACTTTTGTAATAATAATATAAAATAATAATATATTATTATTACTGGAATATTATAGTAATTATTCCAGTAATAATAATATAAAATAATAATATATTATTATTACTGGAATATTATAGTAATTATTCCAGTAATAATAATATAAAATAAAAATATAATTTATTAGACAAACAAATTTGTAAGTTATTACTAGTATCAAGTAATAATATTAAACGAAAAATTGATAAGAGTACAAGAAGCAGTGCCAGAGGACTGCGCAATACAATAGTTAATTCATACCATTAAGAGCAAGGGTCCGAGAAGAAAAAGTGAAGGGAAAGGTACTATATACTTATAAACGCCTTATAAACACAACATTCTGTTTTTTTATTTCAGTAAACAAGCGAATAGCTAACCATACTGCTAGTTCTCTGGACCATCAGAGAGAGTGAGATTCAAGTCCACTGACATCCAGTTTTTACTAGATGATAAAGTTGACATATCATTATTGATTGTTTCATAATTATAATAATCATTATTGAAATCATCATTATTATCAACATCTTCATCATTATTATCATTTTGATCATCATTATTATCATCATCAACATTTTTGATATAAGGACAAATAACGGCCTTAGGATTATCTCTTCTTTCAGTCAAAATCCATTTCTTATACTTATTTTATAACTATATATCTACCTATATAACACTGAATTTGCGTATCATGGTATATCTAATTTTTCTGGTGGCCCTGATACATATTCATTATAAGGACTTTGTTGTCTAGTATTATCTTTTGTTCGCGTATGTGTGTGTATGCTTATTGAGAGCTAGAAAGAGAGAGCCGAAGACCTCGTGGCACCGCAACGCGGGGGAGTCTCTCCAAAAAAGGGCCCCCCTCCCTTAATTGTCACCGCGTTGTATAGTCTCTCTAGACAAACCGCGAGCGAGTCAGTTGCAATCGAAAAGCGTTAGAACAAGCGTGACTTAAGTACTCGTCTGCTTCGATCGGCACATTTTTGGTCTTTATCGCACTAACCAAGCGACGCATACTGGCCAAGAAAAGCCTTCCTCTATCTCCGTCGTCTAAGCACAGTCCATATTTACAATTGATTTTATTATTAGCGTCATTTTTCCGGTCTTCTTTTCTGATTCGCCTTCATCTTCATATTTGCTGCAAAAAAAAAATACAAGTTGTTTCCTATCATCAAAGAGTTCGTGTTGAGCGTTTTATTTTTCCCTACTCTCTACAGGCGTTTGTCAACGATAACGGGTACTTTTCCCCCCGCGACCTTGATAACGGTCCATCGCGACCTAGAGGCTCGAAACGAAACATTGGTAGCAGAGCGTGGTTGCCTGTACGAGAGCAGCGGAACTCGACAAACACGATGAAATCTTTGATAACAGAGCTGTGCAGCTAGCCGGGACAGCAGGGCTTCCTGGTGGCATCGCAACGAGCAGCTTCTGTTATCTACTCGTCTCATCGGCTTCACTACCAGTTTCTCCGAGAGCCATTCTTCGGCTACGATAAGTAGAGCAAACGGAAAAAGGTCTGTGAGTAGACAATTATCTCAACTTGTTCGGCAACTTCCGTTTTTGAAGGCTTCAAGGCCACATTCCGATTGTGCTATATCGAGCGAGTACGCCGATACATCTAGTTGCTTACTAGGAGAGCGTTTAATAACTAGAGCGCTCGCTTATCTCTGTTGTTCGCTGTAGTCGCTTGGCCTCGCAGTGAGCCGCGACTCACAAGCATACTTCTCGAGTCATTGTTTTGATCGCGTTAAACGCTTACGTCTCTAAGCAGCATGGTTAAGCTTTACCGATCCCAAACAAAATTGACGACGAATATAACAAATTTCTACGACAACTCGACCGTCAAGGTCGCCGTAGAAAAACAAACTCTGTCACATTTCGAGACGCGGCTAGGTATTCTCAAGAACTATTGGTCAACTTTCATTTCTTGACACGAGGACTTGCTCGAGTACGAAGAGCAGCTAGCCGGCGATAGCTACTTCAAGAACGATGTATACTCGCTAGTTGAGCTGGCGTATAGAGACGAGAAAGCGCGCCTCTTAACGCGAATTTCGGAGCTCAGGGGCCCCGCGCCGTTTCCTGGTCAACTTCCCGCGCCTATAATCAACGCTAATGCTGCGGAGCAATACGCGTCTTTGCCGCGGATTGCTCTGCCCACTTTCTCGGGTAAACAAGAGGAATGGGAGAGCTTCAAGCAGCGCTTTTCTTCGCTTGTCGTCTCGAAGGCCACTGTCCCGCCGATAGCAAAATTGCAGCACTTTCTCAATGCTGTGCAGGGCGCCGCTGCGCAACGTCTGAAGGGTATCAAACTCACAGACGCAAACTTCGAGGTCACATGGACAAAGCTACCTCGTCGCTATGATAATCCACGCATACGTTTGTTTAACGCTATCGAGAGCTTGATTCAGCTTCCAGCTGTTAAAGCTCCCAATGTTGCGGATCTTAACGAAACAATGGATCGTGCGGAGGAATCGGTTCGCGCGCTAATAGATCTCGGTTGCCTGATCGAGCAAACTAATTATTTTGTTGTTCATTGCGTCATTCGTAAGCTCGACTCAACGTCTCGCGAGGCGTGGGAAGTTTCACAGGAACGGACGGTTGGTTTTCCTTCATACGCAGATTTAACCACTTTCCTGGAGCGCCGAATTCATGCGCTTGAGCAGGCTCACGTCGGCCCGCAGTCGAGCGACACCGGAAAAGCTAACTCGGCAGCAAAACAAAGCGGCGATCGTTCTAAACGCGTCGCGGCGAACGTTGCGCAAACGGACGAGTCCGCCGGAACAACAAAGAGCTGCGTAGCTTGCGAAGGCAATCACTACGTAAATAGGTGCCGCGATTTCAAATCCATGCCGGTATCGCAGCGCTGAGATTTATGCAAACGCAAGAGACTTTGCGTAAATTGCCTGAGAGTGTCGTATTTTGTGGAAAAATGCCCCTCTCCTAATCGTTGTGTGACTTGCGATGCAAAGCACCACTCGAAGTTGCACCTCAAGAGAATAGCAAAGCCGCGCAACGAGGAGGTTTCCTCGCGCGCTAGCGCCCCTCGCAAGGATGACAATCCTTCGGACGAGCCTGCCGGCCCTCCTGTTGCTGCGCACAATGCATTAGTTGGTCGCACAATTCTTCTTGCGACCGCTGAACTAATCGCGATTGGCCCCAACGGCAAGCGGCTGCGCATTCTTGCTCTTGTTGATCCTGGAGCCGAGCGCTCCTTCATTACGCATCACGTGATCTCAGAGCTGGGACTTCCTTGTAGTTCCGTGAAAATCAAGGTCGTCGGAGAAGGCGAGAGCGCTTCTTCTACAGCGCACCGCGAAGCTGAACTCAAAGTGGCACCCCGAGGCGAATCCAACTTAACGATCTCGGTCTCGGCGTTAGTGTTGCCTAAGCTCTCTCAGCCTCTGCCTTACAAGCATGCGGTCACCTCGGAATTGCCTCATATCCGAGGGCTTAAGTTAGCCGATCCACAGTTATTCGAGTCTCGACAGATAGACTGCATCCTTGGTGCTGACGTCTATCCGTTGGTCATTAAAGATGGGACAAAGCGCGGTTCAGCGGGCGCCCCTTTAGCTCAAAACTCCGCTTTCGGATGGCTGCTCACGGGCCCCCTGGCCAGCGTTGACACAAGCAACACGATGCACGTTCGCGCGTTTCACATTCACACTGATAATCTACTTGCAGTATAATTACAGAAGTTTTGGGAAATCGAGGAGGCGCCACGCAAATCCTTGCTCACGAGCGACGAGAGCAAATGCGAGGAGTCGTTTCATCAGACTTCTTTTCGAAATGCCGACGGCCGTTTCGTGGTTAAGCTGCCTTTCCAAAGCACGCCAAAGTTTTCCGCCTCTCGAGATATCGCCGCTGCTTGCTTCATTCGCTCCGAAAAGCGCAGACATCGCGATAGCGATCTCATTGAGTCTTATGGTAGCTTCATGCAGGACTACATAGACCAGCGTCACATGTAACCCGTGCCATCTGACAAGATCAGCAGGCCATCCTTTTATTTGCCTCATCATGCAGTGAGACGGCCCGAGAATCCAAGTAAGGTGCGCGTAGTCTTCAACGCGTCGCAAAAGGACTCAAACGGCGACTCGCTCAACGACTTGCTGCTGGCAGGTCCCAAGCTTAAAGCGGATATCGCTCAAGTGCTGACGCTGTGAAGATTTTTTAAGTTTGTATTTACAACGCACGTAGTCCAAATGTTTCGACAGATCCTTGTACACCCAGACGACAGGGACTGGCAACGAGTGCTCTGGCGCTCCTTCGCCGCCGAGCCCATCACGGACTATCGGTGCACGACTATTAACTACGGGACGGTCTCTGCGCCTTACTTAGCGCTCAAGGTCATGCAAACTCTCGCCACGGACGGCGCCGAGACTCACCCACACGCCGCTGAGACGCTACGCCGTCGACTCTACGTCGACGACCTATTTGCTGGAGCGGACACGCTAGACCTGGCGCGCGAGCGGCGCGACGAGGCGATTCAGCTGCTGTCATCCGCCGACATGGCGCTAGGCAAATGGGCAAGCAACAACTCCTTCATCCTTGAGGGGCTTGAAGCAATGGCGGCTAAGGCCATTTACCTCAAGCAGGATGACGCCGTGTCAACACTGGGCTTGCAATGGCTGCCCAGCTCAGACTCCTTCACCTTCAAACCAAAGGGGATTCTCGTCGGTCATGAAATCACCAAGCGCGTCGTGCTGTCAGAGATTGCGCGACTCTTCGACCCTCGTGGCTGGATAGCTCCGATAATCGTAAGTGCAAAGATTGTTTTACAGGATATTCGGCTCTTTAGCCTTGAGTGGGATGAGCTGCTGCCCGACGACCTCCAGTCACGCTGGACGCGCTTTCGGAGTGAGATGCAACAGATCTCGCTCATCAGCCTCCCGCGGTGGCTGGGTGGCCTCGAGGCCGAGGAATGGCACCTGCATGAATTCGCTGACGCCTCAAAGCGAGCTTATGCAGCAGCGATTTATGTGGTGTACCCGAATTGCTCTGCTCAGCTCCTCTTTGCAAAAACAAAGTTGGCGCCCACCAAAGTTCAGTCGCTGTCTCGACTCGAACTGTGCTGCGCAGTGCTGGCCGTACGGTTGGCCAAGCACGTGTCGGACGCTTCACCAATCAAGCCGAGTCACATCCACCTCTGGTCAGACTTACGCGTGGTGCTGGACTGGCTGAAGACTCATCCGGCCCACTGGCCAACCTTCGTCGCCAATAGAACGAGCGAAATTCTCTCTGAGTTACCAGCAGCTACGTAGAGGCACGTCAAATCCGCCGACAACTCCGCAGATTACGCCACCCGAGGCCTCGCGCCTTCGGTGCTCGCTCAATTTCCTCTTTGGTGGCACGGACCTGTGTGGCTCACGCAGGAGCAAGAGAAGTTGCCTCCTCAAGCTGCAGACGCCACTCCCAGCGACCAGCCGCAGGTGTTCGCGGAGCAGGAGAAGACACCCAAGGACGTCTCTGTGCACCCGTGCCTTCCTCGTTTTCGAAAGTTCTCCAGCTTTGACAAGATCGTCCGGATGCTAGCTTACAGCTGGCGTTGGCGCGTTCGCCCCATCTATCAAGAACACCAGCCGATTAATCCCTTTTTTTCAGGCAAAGAGATTCGGCTCGCCACTCTTTTCTGTTTTAGAATTATTCAGATTCATCAATTTGCTAGCGAGCTGGAGAGGTTGAAGTGTGACAGCTCTGTCTCCGCTCGCAGCCCTCTCCGTCGGCCGTCCGGACGGAGTCATTCGAGTCGGTGGCCGCCTCGATCATTTAGCGCTTCCGTACAGCGAGAGGCACCCGGTCATCCTGCCGAACCGTTGCACGATCGCCAGGAGGCTCGTCGAAGACACTCACCAGCGGACCCTTTATGGTGGGGTCCAACTGATGCTGTCGCACTTGCGTCGCTCCGTTTAGATTTTACGGGGCCAGCGCCTAGCGGTCGAAGTACTCCACCGCTGTGCTAAGTGCACGCGCCATGCTGCACGGAGCCCTAGCCAACTTATGGGCCAACTGCCGACTGCACGAGTCTCCCCGTCTCGTCCGTTCTCGCACACGGGTGTGTACTTCGCTGGACCGATCCCCGTCCTGTTTTCAAGAGGATGAGGCGCCAAAATAACCAAAGGCTACATCGCCGTCTTTATTTGCACTGTCACGCGGGCAGTTCATCTCGAGGTAGCCTCTGACCTTTCAACCCATGCTTTTCTTGCAGCGTGGAGTTTGCGCTGTGCTGTACTCGGACAACGCCACGAACTTCAATGGCGCAGCTTCCGAGCTTCAGCGCATGCTGGCCAGCTTTTATTTGCTTCAAACATCTCCAAGAAGCTGGCAGCTCAAGGGACGGACTGGTCCTTGATCCCCCCACGAGCTCCTCATTTTGGTGGGCTTTGGGAAGCCGCCGTCCGAAGTGCAAAGCATCACCTCAAGCGCGTGATTTGCGAGACCAGGCTCACCTTCGAGGAACTGTCGACGTTGTGCGCCAAAATTGAGGCCTGCCTCAACTCAAGGCCCCTGTGCGCCTTGAGCAATGAAGTTACGGGCGAGCTCGCCCTCACTCTGGCACATTTTCTGGTCAGCTCTGCGCTGCTCTCTCACCCCGAGCCCTATGACGAAGCGCAGAGGCCAATGTCACCTTTCAACCGTTGGAAGCTACTTGTTGACCTTCGTAACTCATTTTGGTCCAGCTGGAGAAAGGAGGTCCTGCATCAGCATCTTAAGCGATGCAAGTGGCAGACTCCTCGAACGAATTTACAAGAAGGAGACGTCGTTCTCGTGCGTGATGAACTCGCGCCCCCAGCCACCTGGCCCTTGGGTGTGGTAATTGCCACGCAGGCCGGGGCGGATAACCTTGTGCGCGTAGCCATGGTGAAGACGGCTGCCTCGACGCTTTCGCGACCAATTGTGAAGCTTGTTAAACTGTTAACTCAACCCGAACTCGAGAAGTGCTATTCCGAGCAATCAAAATAAACTCAGTGCTAATCTATAGTTTATTCACTTACTAACCCATTAATTAATTTGAGTTTATGTTTGTTTGTTTTTTTTTTCAATTGCAAAATTTGTAAATCCTTCATGTTTATGTCAGCTCGTGGCCAGGGTAAGCTACTAACACTATTGTATAGCTGCGCTGGCTATCACCGTAGCAGTAGGTTTAGCTCTATCCGCTTACAGGCTTTTGTTCTATCTCGCTTTTTTTCAATTCATTTTGACGCTGTTGCCTCAAGGTGGGCGGTATGTTCGCGTATGTGTGTATACGCTTATTGAGAGCGAGAAAGAGAGAGACGAATGCCTCGTGGCACTGCAACGCGGGGGGGTCTCTCCGAAAAGGGCCCCCCTCCCTTAATTGTCGCCACGTTGTACAGTCTCTCTAGACAAACCGCGAGCGAGTCAGTTGCAATCGAAGAGCGTTAGAACGAGCGTGACTTAAGTACTCGTCTGCTTCAATCGGCATATTTTTGGTCTTTATCACACTGACCAAGCGACGCACGCTGGCCAAGGAGAGCCTTTCTCTATCTCCGTCGTCTAAGCTCAGTCCATATTTACAATTGATTTAATTATTAGCGTCATTTTGCCGGTCTTCTTTTCTGATTCGCCTTCATCTTCATATTTGCAAATAAAAAATACAAGTTGTTTCCTATCATCGAAGAGTTCGTGTTGAGCGTTTTATTTTTCCCTACTTTCTACAGGCGTTTGTCAACGATAACGGGTACGTTTCCCCCCGCGACCTCGATAACGGTCCATCGCGACCTAGAGGCTCGAAACGAAACATCTTTCTAATTGTCTAGTTTTTTATTTGGATCTAATATAGTAGCTGTAATTTTGCTTGTTTGAGTTAGTCTTTTGAGTTTTTAAGTAGATTCTGGAGTAATTATGTTATTTAACTCTACTAAAAGTTCCCGATCTAATTGGCTTATTTTTACTAACTAAGTTCGTCGCGGCTCAGTTATAAAGCATAGAAGTTATGTACGGACTCCTACTTTGTGGGACGCATAATTTTATACTTGTCGGCTCACCATCTCTTCCAAATCTTTGACATGAGCTGACATAAGCGATTTTAATTTTTTTACCATATTTATTACTTAAGCCGTATCGCACTCAGCATTTGGTTCTGTTTAAAACGCTATAGGCTCACCTCCGAACAACGTCAGGAGTGAATCACCTATGAAATTAAATGACGTGACAAATAATTTTCTCTTAGCTGTTGATAATCTTAAAAGTTTTATATCTGATAGTTAGAACTGACTACAAATAAACTTTGTGAACTATAAATTTAGGATTCTCGTTTTGCATAATAACTAATGGAATTCTCATTATTTAACTGATTAAAATTATTTTGTATTTAATTATTATTGCTTGGTTAATTTGCATGATTTTGATTTCGTTCATTGTTCTAAAAATTTCCTCGAATTTTTGTACTATGGTTTAATTGACTCTAAGAACTAAAATTATAATTAGGATAATCAATATGCCCTATTTGATATTGTTAAAATGGTTAATTATTTTAGTCATTTCGTTAATTATATTACTGATCATCAAATTACTGCAAGGAAGTCCTTGATATCAAGTATCTGAGATTAAACCTGCTATTGATCGGCTCTCTAATCTCAAAGCACAATCGAAGGCATCTAGAAGGGTAGCACGTTTTTTGGCACCTACCTGCCAGCTAATCATAAGTGCTTGTCTTTATACATATATATACACAGCATGATATGTAACCGTGGCATTTCCCGAGAACCGAAAGAAGGTTGGATGTAAAAATTTTTACCTTAAGGTAAATATTGTCTACTCCTTATGTTGTCAGTTGTTTATCCACGCGCTTACCGTCTTTCTCACTCTCATGTTGGACAAAAACATCTTTAAATTTTTATACTTAAGTAATGTTACCACGCATGAAAGTAAAATAAAATATCAGTAGAGATTTTTCCACTCTACACGATAGTATTTTTGCAAAAATAGTCGACCTCTCGGTCAAAAATATTGTTGTTAAGTATGTCTTGCCTTTGTTTCCGGGTATGTCGTTTGTACACGATTTAGAACGAGTCCATTCATAAATTGCAATAATCAAGTACCCAGGAAGTGCCCGGGAAGTACCCGCCAAGTGCCCGGGAAGTACCCGAGGAAGTACCCGAGAAAGTGCCCGGGAAGTACCCGCCAAGTGCCCGGGAAGTACCCG